TCCATCACATGAGCATGAGCTGGCGCCTTGGTTTCTGCCTCGCCTTGTGCGATCTTGCGTGAGAACGCTGGTCTGTGGGGGGTGAAACGTTGGCGTGGAGCACCAGAGGTGTCCTCGCGGCATCACAACATTGTTAGGAGATGGCAGCCGCGGCTAGACCTCTCGGATGCAGTAGGTCGCGGGATGTCGAGCGAGCTCCGCCAAGAAGACGGCTTCCGGTATCTGCTCTGCTCTGCGGGTACGAGCCAGGGAGTCCAACCTGAAGATCTTCTCATGGAAATATCGATATGCCACCCAGTGTGCGTTGTCCCGGTTCTGCACCGCCCCGGCAGCTGCTTCCAGATCGTGCTTGCTCACGACGGGTTGAAGGTCCATTTGCCACCTCACACGACCAAAAGCAGCCATGGCTTTGGTTTGCAGTACCTGCGCAAGCACTTCCGAGGAGTAGAAGCCACCTGGCGCCGCGTGGTCCTCTGCAGCTTCACCTCGTTCCACCCCACCTTCTTCGAGGACAACCTGCACGGCGTTGTCCATGTCCGCTTCAGTGAAGAAGGCTGCCCCCAAGGCCATGTTCAGGGCGTGCATGCCGCAGAGAGCTTGCTCTTGCGCCTCAAAATACAGGCCTGCAGGTGTGTCTTGATCGGGTCGGCTGCCTGTCCGTTGCATCTTGGCCAAAGACCCGGCCGCGCAAGAGCTTTCTGCAGCCCGTTTGCCTAGGCCCATGAAGACGAACTTTGCTTTGCATTTTGCTTTGGCCTTTGCTTTGCTTTTGGCGTTCGTCTTGGCTGGTGGCTTGGCCGGGCACTTGCGCTTATGAGCCTTGATGGCAGCTTTGGTGTTGGGAGCCTCCGTGCCGCATAGTGCACAACACCAGGGCCGCTCGATGCGCTCGCCGTGGTCTGGCTTGAGACGGTTCCAGTCGGGCGTCCCCATCTCAGCTAGTCGTCTTTCATAGAACTCCTTGTTCTGCTCCGGCTTGAACAACGCCTTCCAGAGATCCGGGCCGTCCCGGTCGGCTTGTTGCGCCCTCAGCTTGGTCAGGGCCCACTCTGCGTTGGCGTTGAACCGCAAAGCCTTGGGGTTGAAGTGCTCCAAGCTGCAGAGTGCCTGCTCGGGGCAGCGGCTCAGGGCGACGTAGGCTTGACCTTCTGCGAAGATGGTGTGATCGAGGCGGGTATGCGCTCCGTCCTTACAGGTAGCTGCCTGGCTCTTGTGGATCGAGATGGCTTTGGCGAGAACGAGCGGGAATTGATGCCTCGATGCCTTGCTGCCGTCTCTGTCAAGGTACGTGGCCGAGCGCCTCGAGATTGCCACGCAGGAGGTTTCGTGCTCTGCTCGCCAAGTGGCCCCAGCATTCTTCTCAAAAGAAACCCAGATCCTCTCGACTTCCCCGCCGGCTTTCTCGGTGTCAATGTGCTCCACCGTGCCACAGGCGCCATTGACCAAGCCATCTCGCACGTCGATGTTGTATCTGAGCATGACACGGAGCCCAATGGCCACCTGCAGCAGGCCTACCAAGCCACCCGTGTTCTCCGGCTCGGCCCAGACGGCATCTGGAGACAGCGGCGCACCGGTCTTGACGTTGGTGTCAACAGCCGGGCAATCGTGTAGCTGTTCTCCTGTGTTCAAGACGTGCTCTTCCTTGTAGCGGCGGTTGCTTTCGGCGACTGCCTGGCGAGTGGCGTATAGGTTCACGGCTTTCGGGGCGGGCCGCTTCTTGCTGCCTTTCTTGATCACCATGTTCCGCAGCACCTCAATGTCGGCGTCGGTCTGCTGTCCCACGCGAACGCGTGCCAGCAGAGCGGCCCAGGCTGGGTCGCGTGCGGCCCGCTGGTTTCCTTCTAACTCGCAGAGCTGGAAGAGCAGCCAAAGCCGGCTGGCGAAGGCCGGCAGCCCGCTTGGTGGAGGCAACTGATACAGGTCCCCGGCAAAGATGACGTGCAGTCCTCCGAAGGGCAGGGTTTGCAGATCTCTGGCAAGACGGAGATGCTGATCCAGACGCTCCAACATCCAGGAGGGGATGAAGCTCATCTCGTCAACGAACAGAACGCTGACCTTCGACCAGATGTCTCTGAGAGTGGCTAACTTCTGGCGGTCCGGCAGCGGCATGTCGCAGGCCTTGCCGTGGCTTTGGTTCACTACGGGGAGCAAGCAACATTGATGGAGAGTGACACCGTTGATGTTGAATGCTGCCACACCCGTGGGCGCCGCTATGATGCATCCTTTCTTGCTTTGCCGCAGGACGTGAGCTGCTGCGCGTACCACCACGGACTTGCCGCTGCCGCCGGGCCCGTGGAGGAGCATGTGCAGACGCTGAGTATTCTGCGTGTCCTTGGTGTTCGGCTGCCTCAGAACTGACTGGACGATGTGCTCCATGGCTTGGCACTGGCGCGTGGTCTCCGGGCAGGGGTTCTCAACCGTCAACATCTCGAATGATTCTTCGCCTTCCTCGACCGGCGCAAAGGCATTGAGGGCAGCTCCGGTGGGCACAGAGTCCGGGGCCAGGAAGTCGATGTCTCCTCCATACCGCTCCTTCAGTGCCTCCAATATTTGCAAGGAATCCTTGTAGTTCTCCTCGGCAACCTTGCTGTTGGCCCAGCCGTCCCGCAGGTTTGCCGGATGCATCTTGGCCTTCATGTACATCGTCGCTTGTACGGCCTGCAGCTTGCGGGCGGCGTCGACGGTCCCATCTAGCTGAGGGAAGCATCTCGACCGAAGGAAGTCTGGGTGGCCGCGCACGTCTCGGGCGATGCGCTGGAACGCTGCTGCATGGCTTCCTGCATCCTGCTCCAACAGCCAATCTCCAGGTTCCTTCCACACCAGGTGCAGCAGCAACTTGGAGTAGTAGAAAGCTTCGGCCTCCTCGTCCGGATTGAAGTTCTGGTAGCCGACGATTGCAGGGCGCCTGCGAGGCTGTGGTTCTTGCACGCCGATGTACTTGAAAGCCGCGCAAAAGTCCAGGAAGGTGACTTCACTAAACCGACAGGAAACCGGCTCCCTGCCTTCCACTGGCAAGGTCGTCTCATGTTCACCGAAGGTGGTTTGCATTTCCCGGTACCAGTGATGAGCAACAGGCAGGTTCCCACCTTGGCGCATCTTCTTGTTGCGGTAGTCAGTGGGCTGCTGCAAGGCCACCTGTTCCTCGTGCTTGGGCACCCACACTGTCCAGGTGTCTGGAGGCCCTACCTGTACCCAGACGTTGTCCCTGGAGAATTCGATGATCGGGAAGCCCAGCAGAAGGTGGCATGCCTCGAAGGTCGACGTGGTCCTGCCCTGCAACGCCGCGTGGGCTGCCTTGTAGATCTTCTGATTGTCGAGGCCGGCGCCTGCGCTCTGACTTGTTAGGATGGCAAGGATGTTTTCCATTCGCCGCTGCGCTTCGCGATCCTCCTCCGACTTGAAAGTGTAGCCCAGTATGTACCGACTCGCGCTGGTGAGCTCGCAGATGACCTGCAGGTCCATGCTTGCCCTCCACCTTCTCAATATTCGAATGTTGTATTGTCCCATCATGCTGTCTCCCTTCACTCGTCTCGTCGCAAGGCTGCTCTTCCAGCGGCTGTTGGCGTACTGCTCCTGCGATGTTCGACGCCGAGTCCGGGGCTCTGCATCATGTGGAAATCCAAATCGACAGGCGCCTTCTGAGTACATGCCGCAATATGGCGTGTGGTTGTGCACCACCTCTGCGGACAGCTTTGCGTTCACTTCTCTATCTCTGGGTGGTACGCGGTGGGATTGGCGCCACGTGTTCGGGGACTTGGTGCAGATGTACTTGTCGCTGAGGTCCTCCGCACACTTGGGGATGAAGTTCTCCATGGCCTCTTCGTCAGACCAGTCTGGAACCGGTGTCTCCGCTGCTTGTTCGGAGTCTTCGCCGTCGGGCGCCATCTTGTCTGGCTGCTGCTTTGCTTTGGCCCACTCTTCGATCCAAAGCAGGATGTGAGCGTGGGGGTAGCCCCGCTTTTGCCATTCTATGCGAATGATGTAGTCCAACACTTTGAAAGGAGGCCGTTCCTTGCGCATGCGGCGATGAAGGCCTGCAAAATCCGTGGCGGGTGCCTGGGCGTCGTCCTCCACGTCCTCGCAGTCGCTCTCCTCGACTCCATCTTGTGGATCAGCATCTTCGTGCAGGTGGACTTTCGGACCGCGCGTGCTGGACAGCCACCACATCAGCTGAGAGACTTGGTGCATGAATTGTCGCGCTACCACTGCCGGCTGCTGGTTGCACAACTGGTTGGGCGACAACCCATCCCAAGTGAAGTTCTTGTCATTCTGGTAGCGGAATAGGATCTCTGCAGCGTGCTGCTCCAGTTCTGCCTGAGGGCGGTCGGGACGCAGCCGCAGCAGCCGTGCCGAGATAGCCGCGAGGAGCAACGCAGGCTGGCGCGCGTGGCAGGACAGTGTCATGAAGAAGTTGGGAGCGCCAAGCTGCTCGTACATGTTGAGCGCCACTCCCTTCTTGGCGTACAGGTACGGCTGCGTGCCAGGCATGTCCCGCAAGGCAGCGTACACCTGACGGCTACCGTTCTCGTAGTCGCTACTGCCGTAGGGCACCCGCTGGTTGCCGATCCGGACGTTGATGTTTCCGGAAAGTCGCTTCTTGGTCTGCATCTCCAGCAGCCACATGATGTAGGCCGTGGACGCTTCGAAGCGGGAATCCAGGCTCAGCAGACGCTTCCGGGCATATTGGGAAAAGCTCCCGTTGTCGTTCTGCCAGCCTCCTGTGCCGGTGGGAAACAAGTGTGGGAAGAATTTTGCATCCATGCCATCGCTGAGGTCTGCGGATCCTCGCACTTTTCGCAAATCTTGTACGTCGGCTTTTGGGGCCTGGAATTGCTTCGGCACCAGGTATGTCATCTCGATCTCTTGGTTTGCTTCTGTTCCCGCAAGTGGGTCTGTTGGCACCGCAGCCGCAGCGGATGTCTTGTTGGCGAGGATGGCAGCCATTCTCGCCAGAGCTCTGTCCACTGCCGGGCTCCGTTGATAGAGGCAGTGCAGTTCCTTCAAGGCCTGCAAGGCCGCGTGTAGGTGCTCCAAACGCGCTGGTGATGCGGTCATGCCGTCCACGCCCTCGACCAGCACTGTACCGTCTTCTTCCAAAGTGGCGCCTTCGAGGACGTCGCAGATGAAAGGATCCTGCATGAGCACTGCGTACATGCGACCCCACTGCGCGCTCGGGCCGCCTGATGGCAGCTTGTCCAACAAGACCTGCGAGATGCGTGCCATGGCGAGGAGATGCTGCTCGATGGGTTGCAGACTTTGCAGTGCTTCTGGGATGGGGGCCGGGATTGGCAAAACCACCTTGGTGCGATTCTCGCGGCAATTCCTGCAGAGCAGCTGGCCACTTCCTTTGGCTGTTCTGCAGTGCCTCCCTGGTGTTAGAGTCTGGCACTTCTGGCACACGCGAGAAAGGCCAAATCTACTCCAGCTCCGCGCAAAAGCCAAGTAATGGGTTTGTGCCTGCTCCTGGGTCAAGGTGTCCTCGTCTGGAAAAGGGTAGCCCTGCTGCTGAATCTCCGAGGCGATGGGCCTGGGCCCTCGGCCGCCCACTCCCTCCTCTGCCTTTGCCCGCTCCCTTGCCTCACGCAGCTGTCGGCGCTCTGCTTCTTTGCTGTCTTCTTCCCGCAAAGGTCCACGGCCGCCCGCTTCCTCCTCTGACTTTGCCCGCGCCCTTGCCTCACGCAGCTGTCGGCGCTCTTCCCTTTTGCCGTCTTCTTCCCGCAAAGGTCCACGGCCGCCCGCTTCCTCCTCTGCCTTTGCCCGCGCCCTTGCCTCACGCAGCTGTCGGCGCTCTGCTTCTTTGCTGTCTTCTTCACGCAAAGGTCCACGGCCGCCTGCTTCCTCCTCTGCCTTTGCCCGCGCCCTTTCCTCATGCAGCTGTCGGCGCTCTGCCTTTCTGCTGTTCTCTTCGCGCAAGGGTCCACGACTGCCCGCTCCCTGCGCTGCCCGTTGTTGCTGCCGAGCAATTTTCTCTGCGCTCTTCTGGGCCAGGCACTCCTCTTTTTCGGCTTGGCGGCACTGCGGATTGCTGCACCATCCCTGTCCTCTGCCGCTCCTTGTCCCGAAGCCGCACCGATGACAAGGGGCCATGGCAACGAATCCTGAATCCTCAGCTCTCTATTTTGCACCTAGGGGCTGTATCCGAAACACTGCAAGCAGGCTCAGTGAAGCAACTTGAGAAGCCATGCTCGAGCACTTACAAAGCTGTCCTGCCTTTGCTCGCTGCTTTCTTTCTCGTGGCACACACTGGAGCTCTGCAGGCTTGTCTTGCTGAGACATAGCGTACTCACATGGGCAGCTCTACGGGCCTGTGGCTTTCTCTGAGATGTAGACAACTTGCACGTGCACGACGTCGTTGCTCAAGCTGTGACCCAACAGTTCACGCCAGCTCCAGGTGTCTGTGATCACGTCCCCGCCCAAGACCAGCTTCGTGGTGTCGAGGGGGATGGGTCCTGCAGGACCGCTGTCCAAATCGTGAAGCAAGACTTCCCTGGCGCTGCGATATTGCAGCGTTTCTGCCGGGATAGGTTTCTTTGTTTCTTGTCGTCTGTGACGTAGTTGGTGCAGAGAGAGACAGCGATCTGGGTTGTTTCCTTCGTGCAAAGTGTGCAGCCAGGCTTCCCGGAAAGACTCGCACGGTTCGACATGGCAGAGTGGATAAGGCTTCGAGGTGTGGATTTCGCTACCTTGCATGTTCAGGTACTTCACCGTCATGTTGGCGAGACGCTGGCGGTATTCATTCTGGATTTCCATTTCTTTGCTCCACTGTACTCTCTCACGCGCATCTTCCTCGGCTTCGCGCTGCATCTCACTGTCGACCCAGTCCCAGTCGTCGAACCCGTCCTCGAAGTCCGCCTGTTCGGAGTCGCGAATCGAGTGGTCTATGCTCTCCAAGTCCTCGCACATGTCTTCGAGCATGCTGTCGCACCAGTCGACCTGAGAAACAAGACAGCGGCCATGTTCCAAAAACGAAACGAACAGCTGCGACGATTGAGATTTGTACCCCAATGGTTGCCTGGCCGCAGCGGGACACGGATGAAGACTTTAAAACGATTCGAATTGAGCCCAAGCACGCTGCACAAGCAACAAAAAGCACGGGAAGGCTCGGCCGTCCCTACCTTCCCACAAGCTCAAGAAAGAGGTGCAACATGGCTCAACAATGCACAGAAGAAGCGAGTAGCCCATGACCGGCCGTTTTTGTGGAATTTTGAGAGTCAGAGCGAATGAAGATTGGCGTGAAACAGATGTTCTGCCAGCGACTGCTTGTGCCGTAGCCTGCATCGCGGCAGCTTTTCTAAGAGAAGAAACGGTCCGGCCACTGGCTGCTCTTCTGGCTGCCATCGTCCGTTGATCAGGATTGCCAGATGCGTCTGCCGCGACAGTGCTTCGTGACTATGGGCTTCAGATCCCATGGCTGAGATGACGTCGCCGACCGTGACGTTCTGAAGGGCCTAGAAGCTCACAGGTCGAAACAGCATGGCAATACGGTATTTGTGTGCTTCCGGTTCATTCAGCCCAGCAGCTGTCCAGCGCACAGAGCCTGCGTCAGGTAGTTCTCCTTCAAAAAATGCACCAGTATAAGGATTTCCAGCTCTTGGAAGGCCTTGCCAGGTAGTTCTCCTTAAGGATTTCTAGCTCTTGGAAGGCCTTGCCAGGTAGTTCTCAATCATAAAATGCACCAGGATAAGGATTTCCAGCTCTTGGAAGGCCTTGCCAGGTAGTTCTCCTTCATAAAATGCACCAGGATGAGGATTTCCAGCTCTTGGAAGGCCTTGCCACGTAGTCACGTAGTTCTCCTTCATAAAATGCACCAGGATAAGGATTTCCAGCTCTTGCCAGGTAGTTCTCCTTCATAAAATGCACCAGGATAAGGATTTCCAGCTCTTGGAAGGCCTTGCCAGGTAGTTCTCCTTCATAAAATGCACCAGGATAAGGGCCTTGCCAGAAATGCACCAGGATAAGGATTTCCAGCTCTTGGAAGGCCTTGCCAGGTAGTTCTCCTTAAGGATTTCCAGCTCTTGGAAGGCCTTGCCAAGTGGTTCTCCTTCATAAAATGCACCAGGATAAGGATTTCCAGCTCTTGGAAGGCCTTGCCAGCTAGTTCTCCTTCATAAAATGCACCATGATAAGGATTTCCAGCCCTTGGAAAGCCTTGCCAGGTAGTTCTCCTTCATAAAATGCACCAGGATAAGGGTTTCCAGCTCTTGGAAGGCCTTGCCAGGTAGTTCTCCTTCATAAAATGCACCAGGATAAGGATTTCCAGCTCTTGAAAGACATTGCCAGGTAGTTCTCCTTCATAAAATGCACCAGGATAAGGATTTCCAGCTCTTGGAAGGCCTTGCCAGGTAGTTCTCCTTCATAAAATGCACCAGGATAAGGATTTCCAGCTCTTGGAAGGCTGCCAGGTACTTCTCCTTCAAAAAATGCACCAGGATAAGGATTTCCAGCTCTTGGAAGGCCTTGCCAGGTAGTTCTCCTTCATAAAATGCACCAGGATAAGGATTTCCAGCTCTTGGAAGGCCTTGCCAGGTAGTTCTCCTTCATAAAATGCACCAGGATAAGGATTTACAGCTCTTGGAAGGCCTTGCCAGGTAGTTCTCCTTCATAAAATGCACCAGGATAAGGATTTCCAGCTCTTGGAAGGCCTTGCCAGGTGGTGCTCCTTCATAAAATGCACCATAAGGATTTCCAGCTCTTGGAAGGCCTTGCCAGGTAGTTCTCCTTCATAAAATGCACCGGGATAAGGATTTCCAGCTCGTGGAAGGCCTTGCCAGGTAGTTCTCCTTCATAAAATGCACCAGGATAAGGATTTTCAGCTTTTGGAAGGCCTTGCCAGGTAGTTCTCCTTCATAAAATGCACCAGGGTAAGGATTTCCAGCTCTTGGAAGGCGTTGCCAGGTAGTTCTCCTTCATAAAATGTACCAGGATAAGGATTTCCAGCTCTTGGAAGGCCTTGCCAGGTAGTTCTCCTTCATAAAATGCACCAGGATAAGGATTTCCAGCTCTCCAGCATAACGATTTCCAGCTCTTTGAAGGCCGTTCCAGGTAGTTCTCCTTCATAAGATGCACCAAGATAAGGATTTCCAGCTCTTTGAAGGCCTTTCCCAGCTAGTTCTCTTTCGTAAAATGCACCAGGATAAGGATTTCGAGTTCTTCGAAGGCCTTTCCAGGTAGTTCTCCTGAAGTTCTCCTTCATAAAATGCACCAGGATAAGGATTTCCAGCTTTTTGAAAATCTGTCCAGGAAGTTCTCCTTCATATAATGCACCAGGATAAGGATTTCCAGCTCTCTGAAGGCTTTTTCAGGTAGTTTTCCTTCATAAAATGCACCAGGATAAAGATTTCCAGCATTTCCAGGTAGTTCTTCTTCATAAAATGCACCAGGATAAGGATTTCCAGCTCTTTGAAAGCCTTTCCAGGTACTTCTCCTTCATAAAATTCACCAGGAGGTGAAACCTGAGCTCTTGGGGGGGCCTAAAGGAGGTGAAACCTGGAGCTCTTGGGGGTGCCTAAAGGAGGTGAAACCTGGAGCTCTCGGGGGGCCTTAAAGGAAGGTGAAACCTGGAGCTCTGGGGGCCCTAAAGGAGGTGAAACCTGGGGCTCTCGGGGGCCTTAAAGGAAGGTGAAACCTGGAGCTCTCGGTGGCTTTAAAGGAAGGTGAAACCTGGAGCTCTCGGGTGCCCTAAAGGGAGGTGAAACCTGGAGCTCTCGGGGGCCTTAAAGGAAGGTGAAACCTGGAGCTCTCGGGGGCCTTAAAGGAAGGTGAAACCTGGAGCTCTCGGGGGCCTTAAAGGAAGGTGAAACCTGGAGCTCTCGGGGGCCCTAAAGGAGGTGAAACCTGGAGCTCTCGGAGCTCTCGGGGGCCCTAAGGAGGTGAAACCTGGAGCTCTCGGGGGCCTTAAAGGAAGGTGAAACCTGGAGCTCTCGGTGGCCTTAAAGGAAGGTGAAACCTGGAGCTTTCGGGTGCCCTGAAGGAGGTGAAACCTGGAGCTCTCGGGTGGCCCTAAAGGAGGGGAAACCTGGAGCTCTCGGGGGCCTTAAAGGAAGAAGGTGAAACCTGGAGCTTTCGGTGGCCCTAAAGGAGGTGAAACCTGGAGCTCTCGGGGGCCTTAAAGGGAGGTGAAAACCTGGAGCTCTCGGGGGCCTTAAAGGAAGGTGAAACCCGGAGCTCTCGGGGGCCCTAAAGGAGGTGAAACCTGGAGCTCTCGGGGCCCTTAAAGGAAGGTGAAACCTGGAGCTCTCGGGGGCCCTAAAAGAGGTGAAACCTGGAGCTCGGAGCTCTCGGGGGCCCTAAAGGAGGTGAAACCTGGAGCTCTCGGGGGCCTTAAAGGAAGGTGAAACCTGGAGCTCTCGGTGGCCTTAAAGGAAGGTGAAACCTGGAGCTTTCGGGGGCCCTCAAGGAGGTGAAACCTGGAGCTCTCGGGCGCCTTAAAGGAAGGTGAAACCTGGAGCTCCCGGGCGCCCTAAAGGAGGTGAAACCGGGCCTTGAAGGAAAGTGAAACCTGGAGCTCTCGGGGGCCTTAAAGGAAGGTGAAACCTGGAGCTCTCGGGGGCCCTAAAGGAGGTGAAACCTGGAGCTCTCGGGTGCCTTAAAAGGAGGTGAAACCTGGAGCTCTCGGGGGCCTTAAAGGAGGTGAAACCTGGAGCTCTCGGAACCCTTAAAGGAAGGTGAAACCTGGAGCTCTCGGGGGCCTTAAAGGAAGGTGAAACCTGGAGCTCTCGGGGGCCCTAAAGGAGGTGAAACCTGGAGCTCTCGGGGGCCTTAAAGGAAGGTGAAACCTGGAGCTCTCGTGGGCCCTAAAGGAGGTGAAACCTGGAGCTCTCGGGGGCCTTAAAGGAAGGTGAAACCTGGAGCTCTCGTGGGCCCTAAAGGAAGTGAAACCTGGAGCTCTCGGGGCAAAGTGAAACCTGGAGCTCTCGGGGGCCCTAAAGGAGGTGAAACCTGGAGCTCTCGGGGGCCCTAAAGGGAGGTGAAACCTGCAGCTCTCGGGGGCCTTAAAGGAGGTGAAACCTGGAGCTCTCGGGGCCCTTAAAGGAAGGTGAAACCTGGAGCTCTCGGGTGCCCTAAAGGAGGTGAAACCTCAACCTCTCGGGGGCCTTAAAGGAAGGTGAAACCTGGAGCTCTCGGGGGCCCTAAAGGAGGTGAAACCTGGAGCTCTCGGGTGCCTTAAAGGAAGGTGAAACCTGGAGCTCTCGGGGGCCCTAAAGGAAGTGAAACCTGGAGCTCTCGGGGGCCTTAAAGGAAGGTGAAACCTGGAGCTCTCGGGGGCCCTAAAGGAGGTGAAACCTGGGAGCCTTAAAGGAAGGTGAAACCTGGAGCTCTCGGGGGCCTTAAAGGAGGTGAAACCTGGAGCTCTCGGGGCCCTTAAAGGAAGGTGAAACCTGGAGCTCTCGGGTGCCCTAAAGGAGGTGAAACCTGGAGCTCTCGGGGGCCTTAAAGGAAGGTGAAACCTGGAGCTCTCGGGGGCCCTAAAGGAGGTGAAACCTGGAGCTCTCGGGTGCCTTAAAGGAAGGTGAAACCTGGAGCTCTCGGGGGCCCTAGAGGAAGTGAAACCTGGAGCTCTCGGGGGCCTTAAAGGAAGGTGAAACCTGGAGCTCTCGGGGGCCCTAAAGGAGGTGAAACCTGGGAGCCTTAAAGGAAGGTGAAACCTGGAGCTCTCGGGTGCCCTAAAGGAAGTGAAACCTGGAGCTCTCGGGGGCCTTAAAGGAAGGTGAAACCTGGAGCTCTCGGGGGCCCTAAAGGAGGTGAAACCTGGAGCTCTCGGGCGCCTTAAAGGAAGGTGAAACCTGGAGCTCTCGGGGGCCTTAAAGGAAGGTGAAACCTGGAGCTCTCGGGAGCCCTAAAGGAGGTGAAACCTGGAGCTCTCGGGGTCCTTAAAGGAGGTGAAGCCTGGAGCTCTTGGGGGCCCTAAAGGAGGTGAAGCCTTCAGCTCTCGGGGGCCTAAAGGGGGGCCTAAAGGAAGGTGAAGCCTGGAGGTCTCGGGGGGCCTAAAGGAGGTGACTCTCGGAACCTAAAGGAAGGTGAAACTTGGAGCTCTCGGAGGGCCTAAAGGAGGTGAAACCTGGAGCTCTCGTGGGCCGAAGGTGAAACCTGGCGCTCTTGGGGGCCTAAAAAGAGGTGAAACCTGGAGCCCCCAGAGCTCTCGCAGGCCTAAAGGAAATGAAACCTGGAGCTCTTGGGGGCTGAAGGAAGGTGAAACCTGGAGCTCTCGGGGGGCCTAAAGGAAGGTGAAACCTGAGCTTTCGGGAATCTAAAAAAAAATGAAACCTGGAGCTCTTGGGGACCCTAAAAAGAGGTGAAACCTGGAGCTCGGGCTGGCCTAAAGGAGGTGAAACCTGGAGCTCTGAGGGGCCTTATTTTGGGCTTTGGAAAGCAATTTTGGGCTTTGGGAAGCAATGCATTTGGAAGCCAA